TATGGCAGTGACACTCCTCTCGGGTTGGCACGTGTAGGCTGGTTTCAGATCCTTTTTAATGATCTTAAAACAGTATGAAAATTATTATCAAACTTCTGAGAATATCATGGACTATAGATCATCACAGCCAGCGAAAAGAATGCAGGACCTGGGCCAAGGACACTCCAGGTCTGGCTCCCCTAGTTCTCCCGTCGGCGCGCCCCGACCTGGCCGAAATGGCGATGATCCCGGACCCGAATCAGGACCTAAATTCAGTCGAGGCCTGCTGAACCATGGCTTAACGGAGCCCAATTTCCGCCCTTCCAGCGCACCACGGTTCAGTTTCTGAAAGGGTCATCTGTATCTTCCGTTGTGTAGTTTCCTTATTGCAGGGAATCGCATCTATATTATTACGTGGCCCTGTAAATATTATAGAATATCTCACTTATCAGACAAGACTCTCAGTTCTGTGGTAAGTGAATGAGGAATCTTGAGAAGAAACATGATATTTCATTCCATTTTCTTCAAGTAGCCTTGGCCTAAACGAAGCAGAATAAAAGGAAATTCTAGGTACCAAAGATCAAAAACTGTGATCACAGATTGCTGAAAATTAGAAAGCGTTTTCAGTAGACAGCAGTAGTACATACATCCATACAATTATACAAAGACACCTATATGAATATATATGATATGAATATATAAGGTAAGAACCTCTACACACACATCTTTATATTGACTTATAAATAATTCTTTTTTATATTTAGATATGCACACACATATTTAGGGCCGAGAACAAGAAGGGCTAATGTCCTGAAAGTCAATGTTGAGAAAAACACATTTGAAAGTTTGCTCCGTAAATTGAAAATCAGCCAATAATAATTTATGAAATGTAGTTTTTCTTGTGACCAATCAAACTGTGCTGCATTGATATCACCCTCTTAAAGACATTTTGTGCATAACGAATATTTTCTTAACGAAAAATAATATATGTTTTTTTTTTTTTTTCAAAAATGTATTTTTTGCTGCTTAATTGATAAATTATAAGAAATTAAATTTCTGTAGCTCTTAAAAACATTCATCCTATTCCGATTTCTATAGTTTTTCTATCATTTTATGGCCTATAAATGTAAATCAATAAAGTTCTTTTGATTATCTTTTCTTTTTTTATTGCCTTCCCGTAACTGCAAAATCTGAAAATGGCACATTGACTTTAAGGAAAATATAGAATAGTAAAAGCGGCCAACCTGAAGTTTTCCGTGGCCATGTCTTCAAACTGCAGCCATTTGTTGCAATCAGACACGCAGTGAGATATAGGATTTTCAGTGAATTGGATTTCAAAGTAATGCTTGTGTGGCGTCCCTAATGCACTGATGACATTAGCCTTCATAACATTTCCAGCTCGGCAGTAAGGCTATTTCAGAATTTCTATTTTTGAACACCGGCCCTTCTAGCTCTCCGCCTTAAATATATAAACTGAGAAGGGAAAAGTCAGTCCAACCGTGTATATATGAGGAACATGTAACCCATTCCTTCCTATTTCCAAGATGACTTCAGGGCCGTCCCGGAAGAAGGTAGAGCCGACACAGGAGGCTACTCCATTACACTCTCTGACGGGGAGAGAAACCTTTGTATAATATCATACTTTTATCAGCACTTTGAAAATTGATTATCCTCTCACGTTCGAATGTGATTGCTTTTCCAGTTTGGTCATATGGCAATTGACAATTCGTGACGTCACCAATGCTATCACATTACAAAAGTATTATAAATGAGATATTCAAGGCATTTTACCGCCTTGATATGTAATGGTTACTTTGATCAGTGTCCTTTCAGCTTATTCCAAACATTAAGATATACTGAGCTTCGCAATGTCAAAGCTATACATTTCTGTAAGATATGCAACAGGGATTGCAGAATTCCACATCTGAATAATATTCATGAACAAGTATGCACACCAGCCACCGGGTAATTATAGTGACCAAATATGATAATCAGCGGAATTGTACGTCTCTTTGATGTCGGATGGCTGATGCTGAGAAAAGAAGAATTGTTGGATGGTTTAGATGAAGGAAGAGTGGTTGTCAAGAAGAGTCGGAGCAGGGGAACTAGAATGTCTAATAAAGAAGAGGGAAGAAAAAGTTACTTAACAAAGCAAGTGAAAATAAATTTTACCTGAAATTGGCAAAGACAGCGACGTCTGGGTAATAGCTGGTTCCCTTTTGAACGAGAGAATAGTTGCATGCTATTTGCAAGCCGCTGTAGTAGTAACCATCCGAGGTCTCAATATGAGGATCCAGGTACACCTTACATTTCCGACCTGTCAAGCGGTAACCTCAGTTATATCAAATTTGTCAACAACACCAATAATCTTGTTTTTCCAAGGTCGTTACGTTGATTTTTTTTATTTTATTTATTTTATTATTTTTTTTTAATGGGAGAATGCGATTGTTGGTGCTATCACTGTCCAGAAAAAAAAATTATAATGCCATCATTGAAGGTAATACTATTTGAGTCTACTTAACAAAACATCGCTCGTATGCTTACAAAGAGGGTTAATTCTGCCTGTAGGTACCCAGTTGCTACCTTCACAGCGAATGCCAATGCACTGATTCATTAGGTAGGCACCGTCATTGTACATGCTGCCATTGAAGTAACAACCTGCAATTGGTGAAGTGTGAGCAAGCAAAGTAAAAATGTAAAGATAACACAGACGAGAGACAGAGAAAAAAAGGAATAAAAGAAACAGAAGAACAGAGAACGAATATAATGTACAAAGGAACAGGGGCTGGATACAATGCACAAGGAAATACGGAATGGGTAGTGTACAATGGAACAGGGAAATATGCAGTAAACAAAGGAATAAGGAATGGGTGCAATGTACCATACAGCCATTTTCCGATTTCCAATAAAACTAACCTGGTCCTGCGAGACCGGGGCATTCCGTCACTGAAAATGGAAACAGTTATCATAGACTAAATAAATAGCTACAGCTTTATTCATCAGGCATAATAACACATTGAATAGCATATTAAATTGAATATATATATGTGTGTGTGTATGCGTGTGTGTGTGTGTGTGTGTGTGTGTGTGTGTGTGTGTGTGTGTGTGTGTGTGTGTGTGTGTGTGTGTGTGTGCGCCATATATCTTCTTCCAAGTGTATACTCACAATAATTGCCGGATACATGATTCAAGGCGACCGCAATGAGCAAACAAATTCTCACTATTAGCTCAGCCATTCTGAAAAGATAATGCATATGTATAACCACATACATCTATATCTATCTATCTATCTGTCTATTTACATATATAATTATACAAACACACACGCACACACACTCATATATATATATATATATACATATATATATATATATATATATATATATATATATATATATATATATATATACATATATATATATATATCATATATATGGAGTGACCTGGGTTCGAGTCCAGGTCAGGGAAGGTTGTTATTTATCGATATCAATGCGGTATTGCATTATTCCATCTTTAATGTATGTGTGTATATATACATACACGTGTATTTACATTTATATGTATATATACATATATATGCATATATACATATAAATGTATATATACATATATATGTGTATATAAACATATATATGTATATATATTCATATATATGTATGTATAAATTTATATACATATGTATACATATACATATAAATATACACATTTATACATATATGAATATATATATATATTATATAAATTATATGTATGCAGATAAAAATATATATTCATATATGTATACATATATATAGTATGTATGTATATATACATATGAATATATACATATGTATATATACATATGTACTATATATGTATGTATACATATATACTAAATGTATATATACATATATATGTATATATAAACATATATATGTATATATATTCATATATATGTATGTATAAATTTATATACATATGTATACATATACATATAAATATACACATTTATACATATATGAATATATATATATTATATAAATTATATGTATGCAGATAAAAATATATATTCATATATGTATACATATATATAGTATGTATAACTATGCATACGTCATATTTACTCATTGTACATATGTGTATCTTTATGAGTAATTTGTGTTCATGTTTTCCTACATATCATGAAACTTAAGTGGCAGCAGAAGCAGCGTATTCCTAATCCTTTTCCAAAACGTTATACAGGAGTTGCAGTTCGTTCAATCTGGATGTATATGAGGCAGGCAGAGCATTTTCACGGTCGATGATTGATAATTATATTTGACTTGAGTTTGAGTATCGCTATAGCTTCTTCAGTTTAAAGTTTTCAATAATTTGTAATGTCGTTTCTCATATATCATTGATTATAAAAAAAATATATAAGTGATCGGAGAGTTAAGTCTGTAGTTGGATTAGTTATTTCTTTTGAAACAAGTCTAGTTGGAATTTGACACACAATTTG